TGTGTGTGTGTGTGAGTGTGTGTGTGTGTGAGAGTGTGTGTGTGTGAGTGTGTGTGTGTGAGTGTGTGTGTGTGTGTGTGTGTGTGTATGTGTGTGGTTTTTTGAGACAGTGTTCTCTGTGTAGTCTTGGCTGTCCTGGAACTCACAGAAATCCACCTGCCTCTGCCTCCTGAGCCATTTTTTTTAACAGTTTGGGCACAGGCCCCAAACAGCTTCACGGTCTCCCCCTCGCTATCTCGCCCCCCCCCCCCCCCGCCCCGCCCCGGCATTCCGCACAACTCACAACTATTTCCACATCTCGTCTCATTTTACTTGACATTGCACTTTGGTGAAGGCAAGGGTGGTTCAAGCCTCTTGGAGTCCCAGGTCCTGGTTCAAGACATGCCGAACTGGGCTGCACACCTGTCACCCCAAACTTAGGAAGCGTAGGCAGGAGAGTCCAAGTTCCAGGCCAGCCTAAGCTGCATAGTGAGATGTCTGGAGTAAGCAAGCCGTGGTCTAGCATGACACACACAAAGCACCATCACCACCAACAGCAACAACAAAGAAAACAGCACCAGTAGCTGGGTTTGTTCTCTCCCTGGAAACTACCTGGAAACATAGGGAAAGTACCACCACCCAGACTCTCAGCTTCAAGAGACCTGAGTACAAACCATAGCTATCTCTGCACAGCTGACACCTGTGTGGGCCTCAGTTTCCCCATCTGCAAATGCTCAGTTTCTGCTGACAGGCAGTCCCCTCCACCCACACCGATTCCAATTCAAGCATCATCACATCCCGGGGGACGACTACAGAACCTCTAGAAGTTTGTCCAGTTTGGGGAACTCAAAAGTTCCAGGTTTGAATCCCACAACTCCCTTCTGAGGTCTGAAGCTAGAATCTCCACACACATGGCTTTCTCTAAAGTGCTGAGACCTCCCTGCCTCTCTGCTCCGTAACAAGGGTCCACCGCTAAGGCCACTTGCGAGGAAGAGCGAATTTATTGCAGGTTCCAACCTGGAACTTGGAGTGCACCGCCAGCCCGCAGCTTCTCCGCGCCGGGGCCACCCATCGCGCAGCAGGAGCTCATTCCGCGCAGGCGCAATGCTTCTCTCTCTTTTCTTCGCGCCCCTCCCGGGGCCTTCTCGCCAGAAATCGAGGATGCGCATGCGCCCTCCAGCAATCGGGTTGTGCAGGAGGAACCAGAATCCAACAGCCGACCTCTGTGGGCCGCCGCCGTGGGGGCAGGGGAAGGGACAGGGCTCGTGCGCAGTGGCGCGCGGCGACTTCGCGGGTTTCCCGAAGCTCGCCTGTCGCGCGTGCGCCGCCCTGGCTCAGGGCCTGGTGCGGCGGGAACAGCGAGAACCCCGGCTCCTAGCCGGAGTCCCCGGCCCGCAGCCAGCCATTGCGCGCCACCTGGCCCGCCGAGGGCCGGGCGGATGGGCTGAACTGTAGCAGCTCGGCGATCAAGGACTTGCATCGTTCCGACAGTTCGAGGCCGTCGGGGTAGAGCACACCGCGCTTCTGGCGCCGGGGCAGGCCAGCAATGTCCGAGTCATCGAAGGGCATGCACCCGGTGACCATGACGTAGAGCACAACGCCCAGGCTCCATACGTCGTATTTCTTGGGGTCGTAGGGGATGCCCAGGAGCACCTCAGGTGACGCATAGGCGGCCGAGCCGCAGTAGGTGGTGCTCAGGTCTGGGTAGCCGTGCGCCTGACGGCCAAAACCGAAATCCGTGAGCTTGACGCGGCGCTCGTCAGGGCTCAGCAGCACGTTTTCGCACTTGAGGTCGCGGTGCACCAGGTGGTGGTCGTGCAGGTAGCGCACGGCACCCGCGATCTGCGAGAAGAGTTCGCGCGCCTGTGACCCCGGGATGCGCCCGTTGCGCTGCACTGCCTGCAGCAGGTCGGTGGCTGCTGCCTCCATGACGATGTACAGCTTCCCGTTGCACACCTCGATGAACTCGAAGACGTGCACGATGTGCGGGTGCCGTACTCCCCGCAGGATGGACAGCTCTCGAGGCAGAAACTTGTTGACGAAGTCCGGAGGCGCTCGCCGACGGTCCACCACCTTGATGGCCACCGTCCCTTTATACTTCTTGGAGGTGGCCACCTTCACCTTGGAGTAGCTGCCCTCACCTATCGTGCGGCCCAGCTTATAGCCAAGTTCACTCAGGAGCTTGTCGCCCGACATGGTGGCGCCCGGGGCGCGCGGGGAGCAGGAGGCGGCTGCTGTCGGGGGGCGGCCGGACTCCGATCTCGGGCCTAACCCATGGTGCTCGGCACCTGCACCCCCGTGCCCCCATGTGCCCACTCCCAAGGTCCTAGAGCCGCGATGACTTTTATTGCCCGGGTAACAATTTCTGCCTTGTGAAGTGACTGCGGGCGTCACTCAGCCTTGGGGTGGGGACCCCCGCCCCGCCCCGCGGGCTCCCCAAACCCTCCTCAGGCTTTGTGACTCAATCGCTCTGAATGGCCAGTTCCTCATGAGAGGGCACTGGCGAGGGGACAGATGACTAGTGTGTGACAGGATGGGTCCCTGAGGTGGTGGTGCTTAGCTGGGTGGTACCCCGTCTCTGCCTTGGCCCCTGGAGGTGGCGGGCGGAAAGGGGCAACCTGTGCAAACCTCGAGGCTGGCCACCATCGCTCCGGAGGGAAAGTTAGGTGAACGCCAAGGCTTTTATTGCAAGGTACAGGGTGCCCAGGAGGGCTCAGGTGCTAACCACTGAGCATGCCGCGTTCTGGGGCCAGAGCAAGCGGGGCGGGCGGACGCTCCAGAATTGGAGAACCACCCGGGCGACCAAACTTCCGCCACACTCAAAATGGCGATCACACGTCACCTCACTTCCGCCGGTGACCGGAAGTTGGGGGTCTTGCAAGTATGGCGGCATCGAAGGTGAAGCAGGACATGCCCCCGCCAGGGGGCTACGGCCCCATCGACTACAAGCGGAACCTGCCTCGCCGGGGACTGTCGGGTCAGTGTCGTCCTGTTCGAGGTCGGAGGCCGGGCCTCGGTTGTGCGGCTGGGCGGGAGCGGGGAGCCCGCGGGCTGCCGTTTGCACCGTGAGAGGCGCAGGGCTCGAGTCTTGGTTTTCTGTGGGGCCAGACGCCTCACCTCCCCAGTTTCCAGTTGACGTCCGCAGTTTGGGAAATCAAACCTGCGAGAAGCAAGCCCGGGATTTGGAGGCTCTTTCGGCTGGTCTCACACTCTGTGCCCGAGGATGACCTGACTTCTGGTCTCTGCCTCCGTTTCCCGAGGCTGCACCGTTATGCTCAGCCTTTTTTTTTTTTTTTTTTTAATTTTTAAATTGGATTTTGCAATTAGGGGCTTACTATATAGCCCGGGCTGGCCTCAAAATCATGGCAACCCTGCCTCTGCCAACCGAGTTCTGGGATGACAGACAGGTCCACCCAAGGTTCTATGTGTGTTGATTGTAACCTAGCACAGAACCTAGGCTAGTCGCAAACTCCAGCCTCCCTAGTGCAGATCCCTCACTGGCATTTTCTGCTTTCCCCTCCTCCAAGACAGGCTTTCATGGAGCCCAGGCCAATCTGGAACTCCTTACCCCCCACCTCTGCCTCCATAGTGCCAGGATGACAGGCATGTGCCCACCATGCTGGGCTGTGTCTTTAAAAGTTTAAAGTGTTCTAAGTAACATTTATTATTGATTTCAACAGGGAAAGAATGAAGAACATTAAGGTCTCTACCCTTAGTACGGCATAAATAGTACTGAGTGGTGGACACCCGTCAATCCCAGCACTTAGGAGGCTGAGGCAGGAGGATCGGGAGTTTAGGGTCATCCTGGGCTACATAGATCAACTAGGCTACATTACATGATGCCGTCTCCCCCTAAAATACATAAATAAATACATAAACAACTCAGGGACTTGGAGAGGTGGCTCAGTGGTTAGGATCACTTGATGCTTTTCCAGAGGACCTGAGTTTGGTAACTCCACTCTACGAATTTAGATTTTAATTCATCAGACTTAACTGTGCATATTATGCAAACTATGCTTCAATTAAAAAGCAAAACCTATGTGTTGGCTCACCTGTGACCCCAGCACAAGAGAAGCAAAGGTGGGATCACTGCAAGTTCAAGGCTAGCTTAGGCTATGTAGAGTTCAGGCCAGCCAGGACCATATCGTGAGACCCTGTTTCAAAAACCAGCTGGGTGGTGGTGGTACGTACACTCTTAATCCCCGCACTCGGGAGGCAGAGGCAGGCAGGTCTCTTAGTTCAAGCCCAGCCTGGGTTATAAAGTTAGTTCTAGGACTGCATGCATGTCTGGTGCCTATGCAAGGCAGAAAAGGGTATTTGATCCCCTGGAACTGAAGTGACAGGCAGTTGTGAGCTGCCATGTGAGTGCTACACACTGAATGAGCAGCAAGTGCTTTGTTTTTGTTTTTTCCAGAAAGTGTTTCTCTGTGTAGCCCTGGCTGTCTAGAACTTACTCTGTAGTCCAGGCTGGCTTGGAACTCACAGATATGCTGGCTCCTATCTCCCCAAAGCGCCAGGATTAAAGGTGTGGTCCACCACCACAGGGCCAGCAAGTGCTCTTTAAAGGTTTTTGTTTATTTTATGTGAGTGTTTTGTTGCATTTATCTATGCACCTTGTTTGTGTAGTAGCCTTGGAGACCAGGTGAAGGCACCAGAAACCTGGGAACAGGAGATAAGGGGCAATTGTGGACTGCCACATGGGTGCTGGGAACCAAACCTCTGCAAGAACAGCAAGTGTTCTTAACCCCTGGGCCATCTCCCCTGCACCTCTTTCTTTTTCTTAAGACTCACTCTTTCCCAGGCTGGCTTTGAACTCCCTTTCTCTTGCTCTTCCTGTTTCAGGCAGTGGAGTGTTGGAGTAATAGATGTGTGCACCAAATCTGTCTCCTTCCTTTCTCCATTCCGCCCTCCCTCCTTCCCTCCCTCCCTCCCTTCCTTCCTTTTTTTTTTTTTTTTAATTTTCTCTGTATATCCCTGGCTGTCCTAGAACTCCCTCTGTAGACCAGGCTGGCCTCCAACTCTGGTCGGCCTGCCACTGCTTCTCCATTGTTGAGATTAAAGGAGTGTGCACCACCGTCCAGCTCTATTTTTTTGGGGGTGGGCGTTGAGACAGGGTTTCTCTGTAGCTTTGGTGCCTTTCCTGGACTAGCTCTGTAGACCAGGCTGGCCTGGAACTCACAGAGATCTGCCTGGCTCTGCCTCCCGAGTGCTGGGATTACAGGCGTGCGCCACCACCGCCCGGCCTATTTTTTAATATTTATTATTGTGCATGCATGTGTGTGGGGAGTTTGGGGATGTGGCGGTCAGAGACGACTGTGTTAAGTCAGTTTTCTTCTATCTTTATGTGGGTTCCAGGAATTGAACTCAGATCATCAGGTTTCTACAGCAAGCATGTTTACCAACAGAGCCATTTGGCAGCTCCTCTTTCTCCATCTCTTTCTGAAGTATGACACACCCACGCCCGGGCCCTGCTCAGGCCTGCACATGTTTTCTACATAGCATGTACCCATAGGGCTCCTAGATTGAGCTGGTGGGCTCCTCAGTCGGCATAGCTTGTTTATTTATTTTTAATCTTTATGTATTCCTGCATTTGTTTATTTGGAGGCAAGCTTTCATTCAAGTCCTTGAATTCTCTCTGAAGCTTAGGATGACCCTGGATTGAGCCTGCTCCCACCTCCTGAGTGCTGGGATGACAGGAGTCTGGCACTAAGCCTGGTTTCTGTGGTGCTGGCTACGGAACCCAGGGCTCGTGCCTGTTAGGCAAGCACTCTGCCAGGTGAGCCCTCTGCCCAGCCTTCCTTTTGTTTAGAAGTCAGAATGTGCTTTCCCTCCTCTTCAGATCCTGACACAGCCGTGCTTATTACCCAGAACCTTTTTTGTTTGCTTGTTTTATTTTTAAGATTTATTTATTTAGAGACAGGGTCTCACTATGTAGCCCTGGCTGGCCTGAAGCTCTCTATGTAGACCAGGCTGGCTTCAAACTCAGAGAGATCCACCTGCCTCTGTTTCCCAAGTGCTGGGATTGAAGGAGTGCACCACCATGCCTGGCTAAGATATAACTATGTGTGTGTGCATGTCTGCATGTGAGTGCAGGTTCTCATGGAGGCTAGAAGATGGCGTCAGATCCCCTGAGCTGGAGTTACAGGCACCCAGCATGGGATTTGGGAACAAAGGTTTGGTTCTCTTAAGAGCAGCAAGCACTGTTTACCTTAGCCATGGGTCCAGCCCTGACAGTTTGTTTTTGTTTTTGGTGTGTGTGTGTGTGTGTGTGTGTGTGTGTGTGTGTGTGTGTGTAGCCCAGGCTGGCCTTCCTGCCTCAGTCTCATCCTCCCAAGTACTGGGATGACACAGCGGCACCACCGATCCAGCTCTGTGCAGACCCACCCCACCTCACCAGGTGCAGAGGGTGAACACACTGCAGTGACGGGTCAGGCTCTGTTCATATCTGCACTTGGTGTCTGGCTGGCCAGTGAGTGCACATGGCCAGTCCTGTCTCAGAGAGCTCCGAGCTGGTGCGACACATATGTCAGCATTCCTACCTTGCACTGCTCCTGGTCACTGAGGCCTGCGGTAGCCTGGGGAAGCCCGGAGGAGCCTCTCTGTCTCCAGACCCCAGACTGGTTTCAGAGTGGCTATGTTCTGCATCCTCCTTCCTCTGCAGCTGGACATGGCTTCCTTCCCATTCCTGGCATCACCAGCACACTTTTACACCATGCTCAGCCCTGTAATAATTGTTGTTGTTGTTATTTTTTCAGATTTTGAAACAGTCTCACTGTGTAGACCAGGCTGGCCTTGAACTCACAGAGCTCTGCCTGCCTCGGCTTCCCAAGTGCTGGGATTAAAGGCACACAGCCCCCCTCCACCGTGAGGGGTTGTCTGCATATGTTTTCATTCCCAGGGGCCTATTCAGCTAATAGTGCCGTTTACAGCATGATGGTGTCTGTTACCGAAGGAAGTCCTGTTTTTGTTCTGGAGTATATTTCTGTATTTACTGTTTTGGGGGAGGCGGAGGCACCATGCTGTGTATGTCTTTGTTTGAACCAGGATCTCACTAGTAGCCCTGGCTGGTCTGGAACTTGCTGTAAATCAGGGAAGCTGCAAACAGTGGTCCTCTCGCCCCACCTCATGAGTGCTGGCATTATGGGAATGCACCAGGGCACTTGGGCTCTTTTTTCAGACAGGGTTTCTCTGTGTAGCCCTGGCAGTCCTGGAACTCACTCTGTAGACCAGGCTGGCCTCAAACTCACACAGATCCTCCTGCCTCTGCTTCCAAGTGCTGGGATTAAAGGCGTGTGCCACCACCACAGGCTCTTCTTCTTTTTTTTTTTTTTTTTTTTTTTT